GTCCCCCCTGGGGATCCTGATGAGAGCTGACCGAGGAGGGAGGCTTGAGGCTGAAGCCGTAGGTGGTCTGATCAGAAGACAACCCCACCGGCACTGTTAGGGGACCGAATTGGATTCCCTTCCTTCCGCCAGCTCAGTTTTGTAGGTTTCCTTCACGCCAATAGGAATGTGTCTCTGGCCTAGAAGGCACAAATGATAATTGACCAACACAGATCAAATTAATTTCAATGGTTTAAGTCCGGGGATTAGGCCATCGATTTGGGTGGTGGGCCAGTTGCTTTGGGGGCAATGGTGAAAGCCTTCCTCAGGGAAAGCGCTGGCTTGAAGAGGCATTTTACGAGGAGGGTGGGCGGGGAGGAAGTATCAGTAACTAGGAGTGAGGGGCAAGGAGCAGCTTGAGGCGGTGTGTGTGTGTGTGTGTGTGTGTGTGTGTGTGTGTGTGTTGTGTTCATTCCTCTGACTTTAGTATCTATCCACACATTGATTAATATCCTTTATTTAGGTGCTTCTACTCCAAGCCCTTTATTATTTAGAAAAGTTTTCTAAATAATAATACCCTCTGTGAACACATGGTTCCTGTTTAACAAGGGAAGAAACAAAGCCTCAGAAAAGTTCAATCACCTTTTTAAGATCACGGCTTGTAAATGGACCTAGAGATATAAACTACATCTTTGCAAGCTTATCACCGCTCCACTATTATTACCCTGCTGTTACTGGTTTGCATATATGTCTCCCCTAATCAACTGTGACCACCTTGAGGCCAAGGACTTTTTCATTGTGTCCCCAGCATCCAGGCAAAATCCAGGGCAGAATAGACCATGAACGGGCTCCAAATAAAGAGTTGTTAAAATAATAATAATAATAAAGGGTTGTTAAGTGACTTATCAGTCCTGTAGTTGGCTGTGTATTCTCAATGCATCCTGAATAACCGGAACTAGAAGGCAACTCTATTGAGGACATCAGGGAGACAGAGAGTCCCAGCATTGAGGAAAAGATATGACTCCAGTCCTTCCCAAACCAAACTCAACAGTCACTTCAGATTCAGAGGGGCAAGATAGACCTGCCCCCGTGGGTTTCCAAGACTTAATTCTCTCTAGAAGTAGAAAGTCTGGCCTGTGGTGTGGTGTGCCTGGTAACTTCGAACTGCTCACCTTGTGATTAGCAGCCCAACTTACAGCCAAGAGGCCAGCAGGTCCTCAGAGCGTAGGAGTTCCAATTCCTGTTTGCGGCAGCAGTGTGGAATTCTTTGACTCTAAGGTGAGTTAACTCCTATCTCACATCTCCATTCCCCAAAGGTTACCATCTGGTCTTCCCAGACTGGCTCTGGTGAGCATAAGTCAGGGAGATCTGGATTGGGATAGGGGTGAGACGCTTCGGGCCACGGGGCCTGACAATGCAGCCAGACCTGTCTCTCTCACCCTGTTCTCTTTCCTTTCAGGAGTCGGAAAATTCAGATCCGGAACATTCCACCCCAGCTCCGATGGGAGGTGAGTATTTGGGGAGACCTCTAACTGGGCCTGGGGCTGGGGAACGAGAAGGTGAGTCTGGATCAGCACAGGTGACGCAGGAGGTCTCCTGAGTCTGGAGCAGGCCCGATGTTAGTGCTCAGGTGGCCTTGGTGGTGTGTGTGTGTGTGTGTGTGTGTGTGTGTGTGTGTGTGTGTGTGTCTCGTTTTCTTATCCAGGACGTCCTGTTATAAGCCCCATAGTCTGGTGCTGACATGAGAGGCAGTAGGGATCCTGACAGGGTACGTGTGAGCCCCAGGCTTGGTGGCATTACAAGTTGATATAGGGGCTCAGGTGACCCCAGTCAGCGTCCAAAAGCAAGATGATTCCTGTAGTACTTGAATATATTCCTGTAAAAATGCCCCTCGACCGGGGTGTCACCATTAGCATTACGACCCAGAAAGGGCAGAGTGAGCAGGTTAATGCTGACTTCCTCTGAGGCTCTGCCTGTGCCCATTGCTCTAGAGTGATAGGTGTTTGCTCAGGGCAGCTCTGGGAGCACCCACCCTCCTTTCTCTGCTCCTGTCTAGGTACTGGACAGTCTTCTGGCTCAGTATGGTACAGTAGAGAACTGCGAACAAGGTAAGAGCCGGTAGAAGGGACAGGCTGGGTGTTGGGAGACTTTGGGGATCTGATCTGTATCCCTGCCCCGCACCCCATTTAATTGGAACACCCAAAGATGGAAGTCCAGATGTGGTGTGGCAGCATGGGAGACCCAGGCTCTTGGCTTGAACTTGGCTGCTTTTCTCTGGAACCTGTGTCGCTGCTGCTTAAGGACAGGCTTGAGCAAAGTCAGTTCTCCCCAGTCTGGAGCCCTCCGGCTCCTAGCGGTCATTCTACGTGAAAATAGAAATCTTCGAGTCTTAGAAAGAGCTTTAAGAGTGGACGTTGGACATTCAACCCGCACGAGTCTGTGGTTCTTTTGAAGAGTGGGTCCACATCAGGAGAAAAATAAAAGGCACACGCCATGTCATAAAATGTCTTGCTCTTTCTTCATTTTGCCAACATTAAACACGTTCCTTTTTAGAAGACTTGAAGTTAAATGACAGATGGGGTAGTTTCAGTTGAACATAAGATAGAGCTTGGTTTGGGGGTAGACAAGATACTAGCTGGGATGTAGGGATCCCCAATGCATAAGGAATTACCATGCCTGAGACTTAAAGGTTCACCTCCAAGTTCCCTGTGGAAGGAGTTCACTTGTTAATGATTTTATAACGCATTGCCGTATGCACCGGCCTGCCGCAAGCCTCCAGCGGGCCTGGGTCTGGAGTGACCCAGCGCATTCCTGTAGCCAGAACGGTTTTGAAACAGTTTGAGGCCTTGCTCAGCACCATCCCTGGGGCGAGGTTGTAGACATTTCAGACAGATGTTCACCTGCCCGTAGGTAAAGTGCTCAGTCAACCCACCTGTCCTGTAGTTTAACTATTACCAACCCAGGACACAGGTGATTGCTTAGTAGCTACTGTATAATGCTGTGCACAGCGGCAACAAGTGGCCGAGTTACAGTGGGGCCAAGAAGGGGCGGGGCAGAGCAGTGTGGGGTCGGGTGGGGGTGGGGCTTCTGTAGACACACTAGGATTTATTCATGTACCACATCTGGAGGGATAGTTGCTACCCGGAGAAATTAGAATGAGACACATTTTGATTTGGTCGTTTTGACATGAATGTCTTCAAGGCTGCTCAAGCGCCACTTTCTTCGCGAGGTGAAGTGTGCCCCGCCCCTGATTAATTTTTCTCCAGGGTACTCATCACCTACTAATATCAGGTGTTTTGCATATTACTGGAACGGGCATTCTGCGAAGACAGAGTTCTCTGTTCGTCAATCGCGGCTCCATTTCCAGGGACACGGACAGGGGCTGATGAACGGCAGTTAGCAGCGGCTCCGCGGTTTTCTGGCCAATGGCCCTTTTCTCTATGCTGTGGGGACAGGAGCTTGTTTTTTGTCCGAGCTGGCCACCCCAGGGTTGATCAGGCTCCAAACTTAAAATCCAGGAAATGAACAAGCAAACGCCCCTCCGTTGATGCAGTGACCCTATGAATCAGTAGAACAGCGCCCTCGAGTGACCGGGCCTGAAAATCTCAGGCAGACAGGGTCTTCTTCTGAGTGACTGGTGGGTTTGAACCACCGACCTCTCAGCAGTGGAGGACTTGACCCAGTGTGTCACCAGGGCTCTTTTGACCAGGCTCAAGAGATCCTAATTCACAAGGCACAGATGCAAAAGACTCAAGGCTCACTTCGTTGATTTAGAGCAAGAGGTAAATAGCCAGACTGGGTTGTTCTCAGGCTAGCTGGCCCCAACACATCCTCCTTACAGGACAGGGCTTATGGGGGGCTCAAATGGAAGTCCAAAGGCTGCCTATACACACAGGGACCATGGAGTTTATGGCTGGTGTTAAGAAATTCTAGTGGCCCCGTGTGTCTATGTCCATGGGCATGATGGCTGGAATAAAGACATCTTTTCCCCTGAGAAGGTCAAGATAAAATTAACCAGACAAAATTCCTGTGTGTGGTCTCTCCCCGCTGTGGATGCCACTATCCGGAATAACCAGCCCATGCAGGTGAACTTCAAGCCTGGTTAAGTAGAAGGTCGGTGTAAAAGAGGAAGACCCTCAAGGAGATGGATTGACACAATGGCCGCAACAAGGGTGTCAGACAAGGGAAGATGGTAAAGATGGCCCAGACCAAGCAGGGCTGTTTCACACAGGGTTGCTGTGATTCGGGACTGCAGCGGTAACACTTACTGCATTTGGGGGATACATTCCTTGAATAGATTTAGGTCCCCCAAGTCTCGTCAGCTACCTCCGTGCGAACTATTTCTCGGAATGTTTGCTTCCACAACTCAGCCAGTGTGTGCTGATTTTTAACTACCGTATAAACTCGAGTCTAAGCCGACCTGATATCAGCTGAGGCGCCCAAAACTGCATTAAAAACGTGCTGAAAAAGTCAGCTTCTACACGAGTATATACGGCATTTTCCCAAGGATAAATGTATCTTTCAGATAGGGAACAGAGCTGCTGATAATGGTGACCACACCCTATCATCTACCCAGATCGTTTGGGAGATGAATAAGGAAGACAACAAAAGGGAAGTCAAAGAAAGTTAATCAATAAGCTAGTAAACTGTTTGGTCTTTTCATTCAAGCATTTTACAAACTCAGGAAGTTTGCTAGACACCTTCCTGACCTGACAATGCAGAAGAACTGAGGTTACAAGGGGAGCTGGAAACTCCCTGGGGGGGAGTCCTTGGGGGCATTTCAGATTTTACTGCTCTAACCCTGGTTTCTTTTTGCTTCCCAGTCAACACGGAGAGCGAGACAGCAGTGGTGAACGTGACCTATTCCAACCGGGAACAGACCAGGCAGTGAGTGGGACACACTTTGCCTTGGGAGTGGGGAGGAGTCACAGCATGGACCCAGTCTACCTCCAGACTCCCTCTTGGGGATTTTGTGTGTCTCCTCCTTGTCCATTGGCTCAGTGATTTCAAAGACCCAGAAACTTATCAGGACCGATAGCAAATCCATTGAAAAAAAGCAAACTCAACCTCCTGCCGTCAAGCCAATTCTGACTCAGTGGCCCTGTGGGTTTCCCAGACAATAACGCTTCATGAGAGTAGAAAGCCTCTTCGTTCTACTAAGAGGCTGGTGGTTTTGAACTGTTGACCTTGTACTTAGCAGCCACTACACCACTCAAAAAACCCTTCACCTTACTGCCATCAAGTAAATTCTGACCTATAGCGTCTCAGGGCGCCTAAATCCATTGAAAGGAGGGTGGTGGTGGCTGTGGCTGCAGACAGGGAAGACCTCCCTGGGGAAGTGCTTACACCTTGGGCCCGCTAACTGCAGGGTCAGCAGTTCACACTCGCTCAGTGGGGTTTGCTTCTCTGCTCCTGCAGCTCTACCGGGTCCTATAGGGTCCCTATGAGTCTGCATCCACCGCGTGGCCTGAAGATGGTTGTCTTTTAGAGGCTCTTGGTGGTGAGAGGCCCTGTAAGGAGAGGGGTGACTGGCTTCTGCTGGTTCCCTGATAAATTGCCTGTAGGGCCCTTTGCTGTGTTGATGGCGCCATCTAGTGACGATGAGAGGAAACCGAGGGAATTTTAGAAGGGGGAAAAAACCAGATTCTCTAACGTTCTCCTAGGGAGCAGGCATTTTATTCCATTGTGAACAGGCACGAGGTACCCAATAAACAAGATTTGTATTTACCTACTAATCTGTAGTGAGTGGTTTCACCACACTATGCTGCAAGGTAAGCACAGGTACGCCCTTGCTTATTGGCTACTCTGCTTTGTCAGGGATTGTAAATTTGAAAAGAGACTTTGAGCCTGTAGGACCGTGCTGTGAGGGGCACCGCACATGCCAGCAATACCTAGAAGCAGAAGCTCTGATGTGGTGGAGATAGCGGCAGTTCACTTCAGATTCGTACGTAAGCACAAGTAAGCCTGTGCTGACCTTGCCGATTGGGCCATCTGACATTGTCCATGGGTTATCACGCCTGCACTTAATGCTTGTCGAGGCTCTATGTCCACTAGTGTTCTAGTACCTTCTTGGACGGTGGTTGAACGATTCCCACCCCCTGACATTTTTGCATTTGCTCATTTATATCCACATCTTGGTTCTGTGTGAGGCCTTTTGCCACATTTTTCTTTTGATGGTGTTTTTGCTGCTTTTGCGCCCCCATGAACCTTGATCTAGTGATACTTTTTCAAACACCATTTTCTTTCAGAGCAGGGGTTCTCAACCGTCCTAATGCCGTGACCCTTTCATACAGTTCCTCATGTGGTGACCCCAATCATAACATTATTCTCGTTGCTACTTCATCACTGTCATTCTGCTGCTGTTATGAATTGGGCGACCCCTGTGAAAGGGTCGTTTGACCCCCAGAGGGATCTGGACCCACAGATTGAGAACCGCTGTTTTAGAGAACCCTTTACCTGGGTGCAAAGTTTTATGTAGATCTCTACTGCCCCTTGTGGCCAATCTCCACTCCTTTGCCTGGCTGTAAGATCATGCCAACACCTGGCTTATTCCTCCTACTTGATGGTGTCTGGTTCGAACCATTGTCAGCCCTGGGGGAGTGGGGGGCGGCTTGCCCCTTCCCTTCAGTCTCATTCAGCCTCCCGGTTCATCTTTAAACTCATGCCTCCTCGGGGACAGATCTCTGGCTCCTAGTGTCCTTAACCCGGGAAGGTGCCAGCCTCAGTAGGTATAAAAACAGTCAACCCCTTAATTTCTCACATGACTTCTATGAGGTAGGCAGTGTTTCCTCTCAAATGACATCCGTCCTAAAGTTCAAGAGACTCCAGACAGCCAAACAAGCCTGAACAAGAACAGCAAAGAGAACTTGTATTTCTCAACTTCAAAACTACAGTTACTAAGAAAGTGTGGCACTGGTACAAAGACGGACACATCTAGAGGGACACATAGAATAGAACCAGGAATCTACAAAGAAGCATACTTTTATGATACACCGATTTTGGACAAAGATGCCAAGAAAAGTCAACGGGCAAGAGTTGGTAATTGGTGCCGGGATCGTTTGATGTCCATGTGCAGAAGGATGAGTGGACTCCTGCCTCACACCATACAATAAGAACAGCTCCAGGTTGACCCTCAGACTTAAACGCATGAGCTGTACAACAGGCAGGGCAGGTGTCCCTTTCTTGCTTTATAGAACACACAACTTGGGTCTAGATTCAACGTGGTTCTGAATCACCCCGACTGCGTATCTGTGAGCATTGGGGCAGAGATGTGAATACTGGTGTCTTAACTCCACCGAGTACCTCGGCCACAGTCCGCTAGGGTATGCTAGGGCAGGGTGGGCATTTGGGTTCACTGTGCCTGCACGTAATCCACGCTCCTTTGACTGGGTGTCATTAGCTATAAAATGGTGAACTTGTAAAGTGTGGGTGTTCTCGCCCTTCTTAAAATCCCCCAATGCAGAAAGTCTGTGTGACTCCCCTGTCAAGCTTCTTGCGCAGACTTGTAGGATGCTCCCTAGCTTAGACGTGGGAGATCCCGGAGAGCTACGGCTGGGACAGGGCTTCCTCTTTCGACAGAGAAGACTCTGTGCTCCTGGTGGGATCCGAAATCTGCTTCCCTGGAAGGTTTGGGTTGACCCCCAAAGCCCGAAGCAAACATTAGGAACCCCGATCATATAGGTAGCTTCCTTTGGAAGGATCTGAGGTGGGGAGGTCAGTGGGATGGGCAGGTGGCTAGCTCCATTTCTTCCGGGTTTCCACACTGCAGCTCAGTTAAATGTCTCTTGCCTCTGGAAGGTCTTCTGTGTGGTTGGGTAGACCAGGATGATCTGTTTACCTTTCCTCTGTCTCCAGAGCCATCATGAAGCTGAACGGTCACCAGTTGGAGAACCACACCTTGAAGGTCTCCTACATTCCTGATGAGCAGATAGCACAGGGTCCTGAGAATGGACGCCGAGGCTTTGGCTCCCGGGGTCAGCCCCGCCAAGGCTCACCGGTGGCAGCGGGGGCCCCCACCAAGCAGCAGCAGGTGGACATCCCCCTGCGACTCCTGGTGCCCACTCAGTATGTGGGCGCTATCATCGGCAAGGAGGGTGCCACCATCCGCAACATCACAAAACAGACCCAGTCCAAGTGAGTCTTGCCTGCTGGGCCATGGAGGCCGGGTGCCCGGGAAGATAGGGTGCCTCTTGGCAGCATGCTGAGGGGGGGTCAACAGCGGCCTCTTGGGGGTATTATTTCAATCTTCTTTGCTCCTCTCAGGAGTTGCCTCTAAGCCCAGCCTCGCTAGGTCGAGGCAGGCACATGGGGAGGTAAATTGGGCCTGGTGGGCCCCACTTGGTGGTACTGGCTGGGCTGAGTACTATCACTAGTTAAAAGGGTCCTGTCACGACTCGGTCTTGTCAAGCAAATCCACTCTAGGTTAGTCAGCCCCTCCCCAGTGCTCTGTGAGTCCATGTTTGCTTGTTGGTGACAACAGGGCAGGCCAACCCACCTCCTCTCATCTCTATAGCTGATTAGTTTCGTGGACTGATGTCTCTCCATTCAGGGTCATGAAAAAGAGGGGGGCATACAACTATGTCCTTATTCGTAATAACTCCCTTTTCTTTTCCATTTGGACCAGTGTATCTTCTTTCCCTTTACATTGATGTCCATGGGGACACAAGGGGAGATGCAGTTTGGGAGCTGTGGCCTGCTAATCCCACCCTTGCATTCAAGTGGTCCCCAAGGGACTGGGTGCTCTGTCCCCAACCTTCTGCTTGAGAAATTGCAGGCCTGAGACAGTCCGGGAGAAGCGGATTCTTCCTGGTTCCTTGGCCCTTCTCTCTCCCCCTCTGATTCTGCACTTAGTAGGGCTTTGTTCCAAGGAGAGCAGGTTCCTCGGTCGAGGGGAGATGAGGGGCCAGCAGACCGGGGGTCACCGGGGCTCACTGACTGCCCGTTCCTCCTGACCCTCAGGATAGATGTGCACAGGAAGGAGAATGCAGGTGCGGCAGAGAAGGCCATCAGCGTCCACTCCACCCCCGAGGGCTGCTCCTCCGCCTGCAAGATGATCCTGGAGATTATGCACAAGGAGGCAAAGGACACCAAAACGTAAGACTGGTCCCTGGAGCTCGGGGGGCTGCGGTCTCCCCACGTTCCAACGGCACCGATACAGAGGTGTCGCCGTAGAGCCTCCCCGCGCCTGAATAGCACTGACACAGAGCTGCAGTCCCCCCTCCTTGAGCAGCACCGAGACCAAGGTGTAGTTAGAAGTGATAAAGCAGCATGTTAACTTGGACAGGGAAATCCTCCTTTTTACTCCCCGTATGAGGGGCCCTCATGGACAGTGGATTGACCAGGTCATGAAATGTTCTCACCAACGTGGGCAGCTTCCTCGTATGTAGCGCTTGGTAGACAGGGGAACAGCTCTGCTTGCAAGCAGGCTAAAAATGCCCTCGTGAGTTCCCACGGCTGTGGCTCTTTATGGGAGTAGAAAGTCTTGTCCTTCTCCCAAGGGGTAGCTGGTGGTTTCGAACTGCTGACTGTGCAGTTACCAGCCCAACTCGTAACCACTGCGCCACCGGGGCGCCAAACAGGGAGATCTCAAAGGAGCATCACTTTCAAGGCAGACCTTCATAGCTGACTCACCTGAACTGGTGTTTGGTTTAAGAAAATTGGAGGGGAGGTACTTTTGGTTGAGGTGTTAAAAGATAATCTCAGGGCAGTGGTTTTGGGGGTCCTCAGGAGCTCTCAGTGAAGCTCAGAAACTCTGGATCCCTTGAGAATGTCTGCATTTGCCCCTTTTGATTAGGATTCTTCGATAGACTCTGTGACCAAAACATGCACTCATGGGAGCCGGGCGTCTGGTCCCCTTTCAGCTACGTATCCTCTGATGTCATCACTGTGATTAAGAATCATTAGCCTCACACCATGGCGAAAGGAATTATTAACATCACTGAATTGCACGTGTAAAAAATGTTGAAATGCTACCTATTTTGGTAACAATTTGTACTTTTTTCTACTACGGTTAAAGACAAACATAATACTTTCAAAAGTTTTCTTTTTTTTTTGAGAGTGAGTGAATTAGAGAGTGAGAGAGTGAGTGAGTGAATCAGTGAATGAGAGTGAGTGAGTGAATGAGAGAGTGTTAGAGTGAGTGAGTGAGTGAGTGAGTGAGTGAATTAGAGAGTGAGTCAGTGAATGAAAGTGAGTGAATGAGTGAGAGAGTGAGTGAGAGAGTGAGTGAGTGAGAGTGAGTGGTGAGTGAGTGAGAGAGTGAGTGAGTGAGTCAGTGAGTGAGTGAGTGTGAGAGAGTGAGTGAGTGAGTGAATGAGAGTGAGTGAATTAGAGAGTGAGTGAGTGAGAGGATTTTCTTAAGGTTCCTTTTGTGAGCTAGTCTGCTCTGTGCCGAAGCAAATGCTCATTTGACTTTTGTAATCTCTAATGCTTTTGTTGTTGTTGTTTGCTGCGATGTGTCCAGAAAACACCGAGTCTCAGATTTGCCCTACCACTTCAAGCGCTCTTGACCCGTCACTTCGTTTTCGGTCTCTTTATCTTTAAAGGGCTGACGAGGTTCCCCTGAAGATTCTGGCCCATAATAACTTTGTGGGGCGCCTGATTGGCAAAGAGGGGCGTAACCTGAAGAAGGTGGAGCAAGACACAGAGACAAAAATCACCATCTCCTCGTAAGGCTCCCCCTGCTCCGTGTGTGTGTGTGCGTGCGCCGGGGGGTGGGGTGGGTGGCTGTGTTTTCTGCCAATTGAAGTGAAAAGAGAATAGTGGAGCCCAGTGGACAAAGGGCAGTTTTCTTGGTTTAGAATGGCTGGAGCTGGCCCGGGGCCATAGCCCTGTGTGTGGGGTAGTTGTTCAGGCCCTGGTTCTTGTTGCCACCCTGTAGTCTTCTTCCCTCCCCACCCTACCTCTCTTCCCGGGCACCTCCACCAAAGAGCCTGGAGCTAAGTATGGGGCTTCTGGCCATTCTGCCACCCTGGGAAGTAGGTCTTTGAGAAAAACTTGGTCCTGGGCTGAGAAGAGTCTATACTTCCATCCTCAGTGCTAATGGATCAACACTACATGAAACCAGACGTCGCTAAACAGAAATACGTATAAAACAGTCATGGGTTGATGGGTGGACAAATGTGGTGACCAGAGGCTTCCAGGAACCTAAACTTTGTGAGTCTGTGCATTGTCATGAGGAGAGGGTACCTCTGTTTGAAAGGGGGTCCCTGGTCAGGAAGATGAAGGACTGTTAAGGGCGGGAAGCCAGAGGGGCCCTGCCTCTCGTTCCCGACACAGGGATGTTATGAAACAGGATCAAAGCCGAGCAGTCAGCAGGAGCGTCTAAGGGTGTAAGGCAGAGGGCTCTTCTGATTACAGTTGTTCATTCCCAGTCCAGTGAGGCTGGCTGTTGCTAAGTGTGTACACGTGTGGAGAACACAAGGTAGGTACGTTTTTTAGGCAAGTGCACCTAGTTCCCAATTGGACCCACTCACCCTGGGGTTGTTTACTCTTAGTTCAAGTTCAGCCAGGGCCTCCTGCTGACCAGGGACGGCCAAGCCCTGTTGAGTGAGCTGACCCTCTCCCCATGACCTTCCTCAGCTGCAGTCTCACCTGATCCCTGGGCTGAATCTGGCTGCTGTGGGCCTTTTCCCAGCCTCATCCAGTGCTGTCCCACCGCCCCCCAGCAGTGTCACTGGAGCCGCCCCCTACAGCTCCTTTATGGTAGGTGGAAGGTCTTATAGGGGATTCGTGTGTTCAACTCCATGGGTGTGTGGGGGTGATGCTTGGGAACTTTGCAGGGACAGGGTGGTCTGAGGAAATACACCTCCCCACTCCCCACCCCCGAGTGGCTCCTGGCTGCTGGCATTGACTTGGTTCATAATGCCAACCCCTTGGAGGGAGGGAGGGAGGCACCCTAGGGTGCTGGCCTGGATGCTGGTGGCACCCTTCCTTTGCTCCTGCTCTTGGCCTGGCTTCTTCCTTTTCGACAGGGAGCACCAGAGAGCCTGTAGTGCCCTTCGCTGGTCCAGGTGGCAATTGGGACCCTGCATTCCTTCCACCTTGAGGCCAGGGGAAAGAAGGGGGTTCTGCCCACAGAACCCCTTGGTAACACACCTTGTCTTGGCAGCAGGCCCCAGAGCAGGAGATGGTGCAGGTGTTCATTCCTGCCCAGGCAGTGGGCGCCATCATCGGCAAGAAAGGGCAGCACATCAAACAGCTCTCCCGGTTCGCCAGCGCCTCCATCAAGGTAACCTGCTCGGTGGACCTCCGTTCCTGGGATGGGAGAGCGCTGGTCTTTATCTTCCTCTACACCTGTTCTCATGACGACACCCCCTCCCCCGCCCCCATCCCCTAATACACACACACACACTCTCTCTCTCTCTTTTTGAGAATTCCAGGAGGATTTTGTGTCTCCGGTTGGGGACCTGTCCCCCTATGGAGCTGTGTCCCTTTCCCCTTGACCTTGCTTGCCCCTTGGTGTTGTGCTTGCTGAAGCTGTGAGCTTTGTATGTTAGGCTAGGAAATAGGCCGTGATGTGTCTTAGGAAGGGGGCAGCCTTTGCCACAGATTGACTTCAGGCCCACCCTCTCCTGCCTTCCCATAAGCTCTGTAACTCGAGCCTCCCTTTTCTCATCAGTCCATGATGGTGGGGTCACAGCCCTGTGAAATGAGGCCGCTACAGTCCCTAGCTCATGCCATGCCTGGAGCACATGTGTTCCTAAGTAAATGTTGGTTTCCTTGCATCTTCCCGGCTGGGCCCCCAGGGAGAGAAGAGAGACTGGAACAGTGAGGCGGAGGGCCTGGGAAGGTCACACACCTGCCATGTCTGGTTCAGCGGCCTTGAAAACCTTTGGGCAGAACCACTCGTTTTCCCCAGTGTAGCTGCAGGCACCACCTGCGGCCCCGTTGCCTGCCCTTACCTGTGCCCTGGTCTCTCTGCAGGACTCTCCTGGCGCCCTGTTCTCTTTTCATAGTTGTGGTGTGAGTGGGCTTCAGGTCTGTTATGCTGCTCTCACGGCAATAGCACAGGTGGCAGTGTTAACAAACAAGCTTACTGACACATAACAACTTAGAAATTTGAATTCAGGACCCCCACTCTCTAGAGCAGTGGTTCTCAACCTTCCTAATGCCGCGACCCTTGAATACAGTCCTCATGTTG